CTTTCAGCAAACATACAACGACAATTAATGGTAATTGCTTTCTCGCGTGTTGATAGTTTGTTGACCGGCATGCAGGCTCTGACCTGCTGAACTTTCATCACGCGTGGTGGACGCGGGCGTGATGATTGCTCGGCCATCTGGCCTCCGGTGCTGGCATAGGATGACCTGGTGGCCTGTTCGTTCCCCCAAGTGGCGACTTGCTTTGGCCAAATTGAGTCTTAGCGTCGAATATGGATTGGGCAAATCGTTGCACTTCTTTATGGATTGGAGGCCCGTGAACCATGACTCCAGTAATTCTCGGCTCACCCGATTGTCACCTCTTGCGAGAACGTCGGCTTCATCAACTGTGGATGTGTGGCCGGGTCTCGTCGAATGAGCCGCGACCTGAGAATTGGCATCATTTCGCCGCGCTGCTGCCGCGTGTTCGGCAATTCGCGTCTTGGGAAGTCTGCCAGTTTTTCCGACATAGTTGCTTTGCCCGCAGTTGCATCAGATCCTGTAGACGACTCCAGACGTTTTTTTGCCATAGCAGTGGATCTTTCGGTTTCATTATCTGACTCCTTATGGTTGCCTTCAGCCTGTGTGCGACTCCAACTCCAAGTAGTGTGAGAAGGCGGCCGACAGCCTCCGAGACGTTTTTGACGTACGGGATCGCTCGCCAAATTTTTGGGTCGATGCGATTTTGTTGGCCATCTCGTTTGCACAGGCACGATTGACGAAGTTGCATGGGTAGCCATTTTCTCTGAACACCCGTCGATGTTATTGTATCTCGGAAACTTTATCTTCCGTTTCGCTGCATTGCATCTCAACACGCCGATGGAGCGCACCGATAGTCTGCGGGGTATTTATTATGAATTTTTCCTCCGCTTTACCGTGAGTCTTTTTAACGCTTCGCACACAAACGGACCGTTGTTTTCGACACAAAATAGGATATGCTGTGTGACCTTCTCGATGGTCTTCGGAAATTGTTTTTTAATTGGTAGGTTGATGGAAGCACGTGACTTAAACAACTTTTATTCAAACTTTAATTTGCTGAGTGTACACACCAGGCAGGCTTAGTCCAAGATGTTTACACACTTTAGGTTAGTGACTTTCATTAATTTGTACATCACTTGGCTAACAGCAAGAAGTACCAACACACCAATCTTTGAACGTGTGAATTGACTGGCAACATGGGAGGTTGTACTGATTACAGGAGGACGATTCATATTGCCCTGCGCTATGTATGACTCACCTAAATGGGTTTGAGATGAATGAAGTACAAAAAATGCTCGATGACAATCCCTGATCTGAAGGATTTCTACCCATCTGCGAGTTGCGACTGTATCTTATTGAGACTCAAAAGTATCCTACGCATGGGGACCTCTTACAACAAATGTTTCGAAATCAACAGAAGTACGGTATTTAAGACACATTTCCCACAAGCATGCCTACACGATTCAAACGGTTGAACTCTTTAATAAGACCGGTTATTGAAAAAATAATTTATGCAACAAACGAATTCCGATGGCAGGTTTAAAGTGCTACAAATAAATTCAAGAGAACAATTTGTTTTGCCACCTAGCTCACCTGATCTATCTTCAGAGCACTATTTTTGTGCTTATGGTAAATCTATCGTTCAATAAAAGGCCTTATGTCTTTTGACCACATACACGGTCAAGATCAGGAAAGTAGATTAAATAAAGGACCTAAATGCTAACAGAGAACTGTATTACAGGCAGATATATATAACTGACAAAGACAGCGGGGACTGGAATTACAATTTCTGACTTATTAGTCGTCATCTGTCAGCCCCGGTTGGTGCACCACCCGAGGCCCGGACTCGGTACCTCTTCAGTAGAAGTCCAACGCCATCTACATGCTCTGGTCAGCATAAAGTTTAGAGTTATTAGAAACTATGAATAACTGATGGTTAAGACAACAGGCCTTTCAAATTTAGCCAAAATTTTTATCCTCCCATTATTCATGAACATTTTTCTATAAGCATACGAAAATAGTATTGAATTGCACAGGATAGGTCTGTATTAATTTGGACAAATCCTGGAATGCGTTGTGTTACTTCGGACTGTCTTCCGTCTTCATTTGTGTACAATAACCAATATACACTTAATAATTTTATGCGTAAAGCATATTTATTTATATACCTTGAATAAATGTAACCATTGTAGGATTAAACAAACAGTATAACTATAATAGCCACTATGGATAGAACTACCTCATACAACACCCGAAAAAGGTCTCAACCGCAGTTTCAGAGTAGATTCCTACCAATCTGCCCCTTTCATCTTTATCAGACATCTGACTCTAGTCTTACATCGAAAACCCATTTAAAAATACCTGTCAGTGCAGTGGTAGGGGTATGGGGTGAATGTTTACCTCTTAGACCCAGAACTAGACGTAGCCCTGAGGGTAATCTGAAACTTCGACCACAATGTGCACTGTCGTAGACAAATTTAAAGCACACTCAGGGGTTGTACGAGACAGTTCGTACCGAAAATAGGTAGTGGCGCACGCCGAATTGTTTAGTATGTTAGCATTCCACCCACCCACTCACAACATCATAGATTCGTAAGATCACCAACCGCACCAAAGGACTCCTGGTGCGCAACGAGTGTCTACGTCGCATTAATGCCAAATTTTATCCGAAGTTGACGCTTGAACTCGTCCTTCAACTGCGCAGTCCTCACACATTCCTTGGTCAAATTCGTGCACTGTTTTTGTAGCCACGTCCGCGAACGATGTGTAAATGACGTTTGGCCTCTTAATATAGCGTTAGATTTGTGTTGAGTATAGAGTTCTGCAATCTAATAATGGGAGTTGACATATTATGAAGTACACTTTGGGGTCCTTACCCTAATGGAAAAGGCACAATTTGAGATGCCGCTCAAACGGGTAAATTACACCGGAACAAATACTATTTTTCGAAGTAGGACTGGAAGTTCATCTTTATATAAGCATCAAAACTCAGGAAAGCAGAAACAGGTATATATTAGGCGTAATAATCCATGTGTCTTGACAAAGGGGTACACTTGAATAAAGTTCACTGTGTTTCCAGTGGCTCGATACTCGTGCTGGCTACCTCTTGGACGTCAGGCTTAAAGTCCAGAAAACGTTGCTGCATCATGCAGGTCGGAACGGCGACCAGTACCAGCATCATAAGAAAGACAATATTGGGTAGGAAGTACAGTGCGCCACCGACAGCGGGACCCACCAAATAGGCGACGTTAATTACCGTGCGAAGGATGGATTGGGCGGCATGAGACTCCTGTACAGGCAACAGTTTCGTGTAGAGGGACTCAGAGAGGGCCAGAGGAAAGGGTATGGCTATAACGTGCAGAGCAACACCCGTGAGAACCATTGCGATGCCCACCGGCTTCGACATCCAGCCCATCATGGTAGTGACCAGTGTCTGCCAGGCGTAGGTAAACGTTAGCAGCAGAAGACCAGCAAAAATAAGTTGGCGGTCCTCGAAGCGTTTTGAAAGAAGTTGCAGAAAGAAACAAACGAGGAGAATGAGGAAGCTGGCGCTCAAGTACACATAGCTGACTTCCACCTCTGTCCAGCCGAAATGAGTGTCCGCGAAGGGACTCAACACCGACTCCAGACCCATGACAGAAAAGTAGCTCGCGAAGATAATGAGATAGATTGTGACTGAAGTAAAGCGGCCGTAAAATTCAGTCGCTTTATGCCATTTGTGGCAACGACGTTCTGATCTGCTTCCTGCTTTCATTTCGGGCGCCTCTAGAGAACTGCGTTTATCCTCTTGTACAGTCACATCCGTAAGCACTTGTGTACTATCAGATCTACCGCTAGCAGAGCTCAATAGCTTTGGATTCACTCCCGGAGAGTAGATACAGATGACAAGAACCGTATGAAGGATCCAAAAGCAAGCCATCAAGAGTCCTGGCGAGTTATATACGGTCACGCTTACTTCACCAATTTTGAAGGAAAGATTGTGCAGTAGTAGCGTGCAAGCTGGGCCGAACATCAGACCAACCTGTCGAGTGACCAGGAATATGATTATGCAGAGAGTCCGTTCCTCGGGTTTGGTCGCAGCGATAAGGTCGGCGTACAGTGGCGGTTCAATGCTAGCTCCAATACCACAGATGAGTCGACCGAGTATCAGTAACCAGGGGGTTGGTGCAACCAGATAGATTAAATTACCGAGAATCTCCAGCTGGTTTGCAGCAATCAGGACTATTTTCATTGAGATACCTTTATGAACGATCCATCCAAAGATTGGAGTACAGACCAGAATTGCGAGCCCGAAGGCAGCCAGAGTTGCTCCGTAGTAGGCTTTGGCAACATCTTTACTCCAGTAGTTTGTCAAATATAGCCACATAGTCGGCAAAATAATTGCCCGTTCCACACTCGTCAGAAAACCCCAAATTGCTCCTGTTATGGTTATTCTCCACTTTTCGCTCACATTTCGGCAACATAGCCCAGTTCTTTTGGGATTACGTTCTGTGGGCATTGATTCTCCCTCATCATCAGGGTAAGATATTTTCTCTCCTGCGTAGTTTTCCACTGAACTTGATGCTTTCATGAGGCTATCCTGTTCAGATTGTCTGGGTGATGTACGTAAAGTCGCCGCATCAGAAAACCCGGATGATTCCTCTTTGTGTGAAATCATTCCTCTCCCCTCATTGGCATTACTTAACACCTATTGTAGTTCATGATAGATCTGCCAGTGTACCACTAAACACTAGTCAGTTCGACCAATGAATAACGAGGGGAGTGAGTCCAATCAGAGCCAAGTGCGTAGGCCGGTCAATAAAGTGTGCGCATGTGTTACACTTGGAAGCACATACCAACACAAACTGACCACACGAATTCGCTTGATCGCGGTGGTGGGCCGGTTGCTCTTTTGTCAGCGCACGTGTTCTAGCGCTTGGTAAGCCATAGGGCGAACTAACCAGGGTAAACAAAATACTATAGTACATAATTTTAAATGCAAATTTGGCATAGTTTAAGCTGCACTTAGAAGTCTTCCTGATTTCCGAGGTTAACAAGTACAAGTCAGCATTAAAGAAATTAATCGGCAAGGCGTCTTCGGACTATTGGGCATCTGGCATCTTGCTCGAAGCTGCCGTTTCGCAAACATAATGCACTAACGAAAAGAAATATAGCTCCTGTAATACCACTTATGCTTTGCTACTTTTAATTATATCCACCGACATAATCGAGTATCTAGCAGCCCGTCCTGGATATCCCTCCCAC